GGCTGCTACTGTTTTTGCATACTAAAAGCCATCAAGCAAGGATGTATGGTAGTCCTCGGGTTACAGCCACACGTTCAGCGACGGTTCAAAGTTATGATGATGCTGAACAAAGGGGACTTGCTGTTAGCCACAAAGTTGTGGCTCTTGTAACATCCCTGTGATTATAAGACTGCGATTTGATTACTTGGCAACAGTTGCAGTGTCCTGTGGTTATGTGATCACGATTGTGACTTTCACTTGCAAAGTTAACAGGTAAGTTGCTCATGCTCCTGTCACTTTTTTGCCTGCCTGGGCATCCACACCCACCTACACTCTATGGCACTTGCCCACAGCACCTGCCCATATTTACCCACTCATATTCCACAGTACCTCCTGCCTACACTCTATAGTGCCCCCTAGGACACCTGCACACCCACCCATGTTTGGTAGTGCTTCCCATTATATCTGCCTGTGCTCTTTCGCATCTGCCAGTGAATTTGTCTGTCCACCCTTAGCTGTCATCCACAGCTCTCACGTGCCAGCCTGATTGCCTTGGATTCCCGCCTCTTCCCATATGGCCCTCATTTAATGACCCATGCAGTTCTGGGGTTATGACTGCAACCAGGACTGCTGGGATTGCCATTGATAAGCTACGGTGGCCCAGTGGTTAGAGTGCAGTACTACAGGTTACTTCTGCTGACTGCCGGCTGACTGCAATTTGGCAGATAGAATCTCACCAGGCTCAAGGTTAACTCAGCCTTCCATCCTTCCAAGGTTGGTAAAATGAGGACCCAGATTGTTGGGGGCAATATGCTGACTCTGTAAACCGCTTAGAGTGGGCTGTAAAGCACTGTGAAGCGGTATATAAGTCTAAGTACTATTGCTAAGTGATGCAGTGATGCATCACTTAGCAACAGAAATTCCAGTCCAAATTGTAGCTGTAATCAGATAAAAATCTTATCAGATAAAATCTTACCAAAACTCAATATAAAGCAAAATTGGAGGCTGATTTGATATAGAAGTCATGAGACCTAAAATAGAATGTATAAAAGACAGGTTATACTTTACAAATTACACTTTATCTGGTGCTATGATTTCAACCTGCAAGCACAATGGACAGTAGAGGATGAGGCACAGGGTTCACCATTAGATCTGACTGTCCTTTAATGTCAGCATTTATTGGTAATAGGGTTTCTTTACAACAAGTCAGGGATTACAAACCTGTAGACTTTAGTACACCATGTGTGTCCTTGGAGCCTCCTGAAATGGGCAGGCCTGAAATGTTTATGATATCAGTTTTGCCCTTACTTCTCCCCAAAGCCCCTAAAACAAAAGTAAGCATTTCAGGTCTGCTGTCTCCACTTCCAGTCACTAGCCACATCCTCTGTTGACTCCCATGTCAAAATAAGACTCTTCATCCCAGCAATTAGAGTGAATCATCTGAAGGTTAAGCTCGAACAGCACAATTAGATTTGAAAAGGATCCAGTGCTGTGGCTAATGATATCAAGTATATAAAAATGAAGCAGTAAACTAAGGAAATGGAATACGGCATTGCTGAGTCGCCAATGCTGCATCATCATTATACTGAAGTTTGTGGTTGAAATACTTCTCTGATTATCTAAAATATAAAAGTAAATACTTTTACATAAAAAGAATTATCCTTTATTTGGCACGCTATCGGGAGAGTCTTTCTATTCATACTGAACACAGGACATGAGCATCTCACATGCCAACAAAACAGTCACCTCAGAACTGAGTGAGCAAAACTACAGGTAGTCTTCAACTTACAACAGTTCATTTAGTGACCGTTCAAAATTACAGCAGCACTAAAAAAAATGACTTGTGACCTTTTTTCATATTTTCACACACTTATGACCACTGTAGCATCCCCATGATCATGTGATCAAAATTCAGAAGCTTGACAACTGACTCATCTTTATGACCCCCTGGGGGTCATGTGATCACCTTTTGTAGCCTTTTGACAAGCAAAGCCTATGGGAAAGCCAGATTCACTTAACAACTGTGTTACTCATTTAACAAACGCAGTGATTCATGTGGCGAGGTCATAAAATGGGGCAAATTTCATTTAACAAATGTCTCACTTAGTAACATAAATTTTGGGCTGTTGTGGTCCTACGTTGATGACCATCTGTATTATCCCTTTCTAACTGGATCCTGGCCATGCTACAAAATATTCTGGGGAAGATTATATTTCTGCTTTGCCCCTAGGACCGTGATGGCAAACCAATGGCACACGGAGCCGTATCGGTGGGCACGCGAGCTCAGCTCCCCTAGAGGCCCTCCGGAGGCTGGAAATGTTTCCCAACTTCCGGTGGGACCGGAAGGCCTGTTTTTCACTCTCCCCAGGCTCCAGAGGTTTTCTAGGAGCCTGGGGAGGGCGAAATGGTGTTCCCCACCCTGCCGGAGGCTGGAAATGACCCGTTTGCCAACTTCCAGTCTCACCAGTAGGACCAGAAGGCTGTTTTCGACCTCCCCAGGCTCCTAGAAAGGCTCTGGAGCCTGGGGAGAGCGAAAAATGGGCCTACTGGACCCACCGGGGCATCACATGCCACCCATTAAGTGACAGGGCTGCAATGACCTGAAACGGAGCCAGGAGAGATCCTGGCTGACTTTTTGGCAGACCGCTAAATGAGTCTTTCCTCCAAAGGTGCTTTTTCTGGAGGCAACTGGACTTGTTTTTTCCTTTGAAGATGTTTCATTTCTCATCCAAGAAGCTTCTTCAGCTCTGACAGCACAGCGGGGAATGGAAGGGTTTACATTCCTTGCAGACAGCTGGTCATTTGCATCCTTTTAGAGGGTCATTGAAGCACTTGGAGGTTAATCTGTGTCTTCAGGGTCACCCAAGTAGTGCTCCTGGTTCCTGTAGTCTGCAATTTTTTTCTTTGGAAATCCATTCATACTTCCACACCATTCAAAGTGTGTTCATCCCAAATTGTATATATAAAAGTCTTAATAGATGTTTTAACAGATTAACAGAGTTGGAAGGGACCTTATAGGTCAGTGATGGCTAACCTTTTTGCCGTCGCGTGCTAAAAATGGGGGGAGCAGGGCAGGTTGCGCGTGCCCACAGCCGTAATTCAATGCCCCCTGCACCCACACGCATGCATGTGCGACCCCCCCACTCCCCCCGCTTTTGGCATGCAACTGCAAAAAGGGTAGTGGTGGGCCCAGTAGGCCCGTTTTTCACCATCCCCAGGTTCCAGAGGCTTTCTTGGAGTCTGGGAAGAGCGAAAACGCCCCTCCCAGAAGCCTTCTGGAGGCCAAGAATGACCTCCCAGAGCCTCCACGTGAGCCCTGTACTTACCTGGCATCCAAAACGGGCTGCATGGAGACTCTTGGGAGGGGAGGGCGGTGTGGGTGGGGCCAGCCAAAAATCAGCTGGCCGGCACACACATGCGCGCTAAAGCTGAGCTAGGGCAACAGCTGGCATGCCCACAAATATGGTTCCGCGTGCCACCTGTGGCACGCGTGCCATAGGTTCGCCATCACAGTTATAGGTCATCCAGTCCAACCGCCTGCTCAAGCGGGAGACCCTACACGATTTCTGACAAATGGCAGTCGAATCTTTTCTTGAAAGTCTCAAGTGATGAAGCTCCCACAACTTCCGAAGGCAACTTCTGTTCCATTGGTTGATTGTTCTGTCAGAAAATTCCTCCTTATTTCTAGGTTGAATCTCTCCTTGATTAGTTTCCATCCATTATTCCTTGTCTGGCCTTCAGGTGCTTTGGAAAACAGCTTGACACCCTCCTCTCTGTGGCAGCCCCTCAAATATTGGAAGGCTGCTATCATGTCTCTCCTGGTCCTTCTCTTCACTAGACTAGCCATGCCCAGTTCCTGCAGCTGTTCTTCATATGTTTTAATCTCCAGTCCCTTAATCATCCTGGTTGCTCTCCTCTGCACCTTTTCTAGAGTCTCTACCTCTTTTTTATAGTGTGGTGACCAACTATATGGTCTGTAAGTAGAAGCTCAGCTGCCTCCAGGAAAAGCACCTTTGGGACAACCATGACCTGGACGACTGAGAATCTCTACAGAGTCTTTCCTCGTAACCCTAACCCTACATTTCTTTTCGTCAATTCTCTCTTCCGGGGAAGCCGACTTTCCTCAGCTCAGTCCTGAGCGACTCTACAACTTTCAGGGAGCTGGGAAGGAACGGGGAATTATGGCCCCTCTCGTTCAACCGTTGAAGTCCTTGACTAATCCAATCGCCTGAATTCACTTACGCGCTAAAACACAAATTTAAGCCATAGGCTACCCGACCCCTGCTAAGTATAAGAAGTATCGCCCCGCGATAAAGGCAGGAAGTTCCTCTCGTCGTTTTTCCTTCCGGCAGAGGAGGGAGGCTTTGCCGGGCGGCCGGGAAGAAGCCGCCCGGCCTCTTTCTTCCGCGCCGTCGTTTCCGAGGGGGGCCGGTTCGAGGTTACGCCCTCCCACGCGGGCCGGACTGAAATGACTGGTGCGTTCTCTGAGGGGGGCTTAATGGCCCCGCCTGGCCTCAGCCACGGCGTCTCAGGGTCGGGTGCAATCGGGCAGAAGAAGGGCTTGGGCGGGGGGAGGGAAGGGTTGGTGGGGGGGGGCTGAGGCGCCGGAGAAGGGGAGGCGGGTTGGGCTCCTGGCCTGGTTTTTATTATAGAGGGCTGCCCTCTTCGAAGAGCAGGGCTGGGAGATGAGCTCGGGGTTTGGGCTGGTTTGGCCAAGCGGCAGGACCGTGAGCGGGGTCCCGCTTTGTAACGTAGCGCCTTTCCGCCGCCGCCGCTTTTCGAAAAGATGAATCTAGATGGAAGCCGGCATGGGCTCCCCTTGCCGGATGGAGACCACAAGACACCTTTCACAGAGCCCCTCGCTCTTTCCTCTCTTAGATAATTCTAGGAAGTCTCCCTATATAGGCTAGCTGGCTTTCCCCGCTAGACCTAGTAGAGACCAATGCTCTGCCAACATCAAAAGGTAATCCGGTCATATTCAGATTGGTTCCCTCACCTTGTAAAGATGATATGCCAGCTCTGTCGTTTATCAGATAACAGGGCTTTCTTTATTTCCCTAAATAGAAATATTTGGGGGGGGGGACTAATTGCAAAATATGTGAATTTCACACACAAGAAACATAGCTGAGGAGGAAATAACTCACTTGTCACTTATACTTAAACTTTGATCTGGCAGATCTGGTTTCCTTGCAGACAAGAAGATAGAAGTGTTTCATAGGGCTGTTTTTCTAGTTAGCATTGTTTTAATTTGATCTTAATTCTCAAGATAAAATTAATAAGCTCTGGTAGGGCAAGTTAGATTACTGAGTAAGGAAAATAAAATGTGGTAAATTGTAGCGTTATAAAGCAGGATCTACAGAATCATAAAATAGTAATCACAGAATATAAAAATTGTAGGAAATGGATCCTAAACTATAGAATCCTTCCTGTTCAGCAATTTTGTTAACAAATGGTAAGTATATAATTTAAATAATATAGTTACTATGTAGTGGACAATCCCTTAAATATGAGTCAGCAGTGTGCTGCAGCTGCCAAAAAAACCAACACAGTTCTAGGCTGCATTAACAGACAGATACAATCAAGATCACATGAAGTGTTAATACCACTTTATAATGCCTTGGTAAGGCCACACTTGGCATACTGCATCCATTTTTGGTGGCCCCGATGTAAAACATGTTGAGATTCTAGAAAGAGTGCAGAGAAGAGCAACAAAGATGATTAGGGGACTGAAGGCTAAAACATATAAAGAACAGTTGCTGGAATTGGGTATGTCTGGTTTAATGAAAAAAAAGGACGGGGTGGCATGATAGCAGTGTTCCAATATCTCGGGCTGCCACAAAAAAGAGGAAGTTAAGCTTATGCACCAAAGCACCTGAGGGCAGGAGAAGAAGCAATGGATGGAAACTAATCTAGGAGATAAGCAACCTAGAACTAAGAAGAAATTTTCTGACAGAACAATTAATCAGTGGAACAACTTACCTCCAGAAGTTGTGAAACACCGGAAGTTTTTAAGAACTTTTAAAAACCATTTGTCTGAAATGGTATAGGGCAGTGATGGCAAACCTTTTAGGCATCGAGTGCCCAAAATGCGTGTGCCTGCCCAAACTGCAAGATGCGGGTTCATGCGTGCAGGCATCCCGCGCATGTGTCAGCACCCTGCCCAAACTGCAAGGCGGTGCATGTGCACCCATGCCCCACGCATGTGCAGCAGAGACCCGAAGACCAGCTGGCCGGTGGTCAGCATGCATGGCAAAGACCTGAAATAGCTGGGGCGATAGCACGCATGCCCACAGAGAGTGCTCTGCGTACCACAGGTTTGCCACTACTCCTGAGCAGAGAGTTGGACTAGAAGATCTCCAAGATCCCTTCCATCTCTGTTATTCTATTCTAATTCTATTCCTATTCCATAATCTTAAATATATATTAAGGAAATCAACCCTGACTGTCCTTTGGAAGAACAGATACTGAAGCTAAAGCTCAAATACTTTGGCTACCAAATGAGAAGAGAGGACTCACTGGAAAAGATCCTACTGTTGGGATAGATTGAAGGCGAAAGGAGAAGGGGACGGCAGAAGATAAGATAGTGTTATTGAGGCAGTGGGTATGCGTTTGGGCAGATTCAGGGAGACAGTGGAAGACAGGAGTGGGGGAGCTGTCTGACGTGCTGTGGTCCATAAAGTTGCAAAGAGTCGGACACGATTTATTGGCTTAGCAACAACAACAAATATACTTTTAAGTGCACAACAGAACTCTGGATCTTTTTTCTTTTGAATGCTCAGTGTTGAGCATTTGACTACTGTATGTAGGTGTTAAGAACAACACAAATAATAGATTACAATAGTAAATGGATACCATGTGACAAGTTAGTTGTTGAGTACAGTTAATGTATAACATAATAACTTTTTAAGATGAATAAGAGGATATTAACATTTACTGTTTGTATTTCTTTCCAGTGAAAGGATGATGCCCAAACCCAAGGGCTTTGAATTTTGGAAAAACACACTGAGAGAGGCCCGTTTTGTGGTTGCTCCCATGGTGGATCAAAGCGAATTGGCTTGGAGACTGTTAAGTCGCCGTCATGGGGCCCACCTATGTTATACTCCTATGCTGCATGCTCAGGTCTTTGTCAGAGATGCCAATTATCGTAAGGAAAACTTGTATTGTGAAGTGTGTCCTGAAGACAGACCTTTAATTGTACAGGTAATACTGACCAGATGATTTCAACGGGCTTTCATATCTTTGTTGTGCAGTACATTTTTCTGCATTGCGTGACAATAAATATTTCAGAATTAATTTTAAAATAATTAATGCACCTATTCAAGGACTAATTTCCATAATCCACAGACATTTATTATAGCGATAAGAATTGTAATCTCAGCATGTGTGATATAAGAATTAAGATGTTGGACTAAGACAAAGAAAACTTAGGTTCAAGCCCATCCTCAGTCACTCATGCTCATTAGATGACTTTTGACCAATCATTCTCTCCCAGTCAACTTATCCATCATGGTGATAGTTGTGGGAAAAAGGAATGCTGTCATGATGAATCAAAGAGTTTTTAACTGGAAAGTTATAATCAGATCTTGTCAGGTAGTCACAACAACAACAACCACAACAATATAACTTAAATTGGGGAGGACAAGTATATAAAATATTTTGTCATACTTAATAACACAATATAGAAGGTGTTTCGTAGCATAGTGACATTCTTTTATAAATGTGTTAAATGCTTCTGTTATTTTGATGTTAAAATAAATGCTAGCTTACTATTTGGTTTATATATCTCTTTTACAGTTCTGTGCCAATGATCCAGAAGTGTTTGTCGAGGCTGCCTTGTTAGCTCAAGACTACTGTGATGCAGTAGACCTGAATCTGGGGTGTCCTCAGATGATTGCAAAAAGAGGTAAGCATAAATTGGAATCTAAAGTAATTTAGGCCACAAAACTGCATTTATTGATACATGACCATCCTCCCTTGAAAGGAATGAGTTAGCAAAGTGCCATTAAATCCAATGCCCTCTGACTACATAAACAAATGCTTGTAATTGTGAACTCTCTAGGAAAAGCCATTTTATAGATTATCTTCTACTTCCTCTATGCCATGCGCAGTCATTTTTTCTAATCTTTTTATTTCTCCAATATATTCTCCAACTTTATTCTTGAGCCTGAGGAGAGGAAAAAAACTGTCTACTGCTGTGGCTATTTTGTGTATCTAACATTGGGCCAGTTCCTGTTAGGCCGTAATTCTTTGGATTTTCTTTTAGGTCACTATGGAGCATTCCTGCAAGAGGAGTGGGACCTTCTCCAGAGAATGAGTAAGTCCTGAAAGTTCTTGAGCATTGGATGGGATGGGAGGAGAATAGAACCAAAATGCATTATATTTGTCCTTGGGGCTCCTGCATAAAGATTTATTCATAACACTGCACCCATCCTGTTTGGATGAGACAGCAAGCTATAAACATTGATTTTGGTAACTAGTCCCTCTGTCTTGACAGTACAACTAAAAATAATTCTATAGGGTTTGCTGGATGCAGATAATTCCAGCAACAGTTAACTGGACTCTATCCCCATGCTTCTGATGTGGATATGCTGTCTTGCTAGTTATGACTAGAAGAAGAAGGCTACAGCCTTCTGTATGATAAAATAAAACAGAACTGACAGCTGATTCCTAATTGCCCAATGCAGGATAGAAGAGCCACTGAGTTGAAAAGGTGCAGTAGTGAATATGGTAGGCCTTTGGCTCATATTTTAAAAGTACACTCATTGCTTTGGGGTCACTGACACAGCATTATCCATCCACTATAGATATTTCTTTCATCCACAGAATATTTTTGCAAATGTAGAATTGACGCACACAGAGACAGTAGGGCTAGTAGTTATTTATTCCTGCAATAATGTATACATGCAACAATATATGCTGTGCAGTTAATGTATGCAGAGTACCAGAAAATGGGATTGCAGTTATTTGTTCTCCTAGTAATGCAACTTCTGGATTCAGCCAGTTTCTTTCTCTTGCTTTCCAGTTGCATTGGCTAATGAAAAGCTCTCTGTACCTATTACATGCAAAATCCGTGTTTTCCCAGAAATTAGTAAAACTGTGAAATATGCTCAATTACTGGAGAAAGCTGGTTGTCAAGTAAGGAATTCATTACAGTCTGTTTTGATATATTAATTATATGTATATGTACATATATATCATGCTATTCTCTTTCAGCTTAACTGTTATGCAAAGTTTTTTTTTTTTTTTAATTTGATTTATATGCCGCCCTTCTCCGAAGACTCAGGGCGGCTTACAATGTGCTCAGCAATAGCCTTCATCCTTTTGTATATTTATACAAAGTCAGAAAAGCAGGAAGGTAAATGTAAACCAAGACATAAATCAAAAATGAGAAAACGTTAATTTACACTAATATTGTTCACTCTACTTCTCCACATTTTATCCTTGAAAACCCCCTGCTTTCACCACATCTGTGCATAGTTTCATACATTGCCTTTAGTTGATTCAACTTCTGTCTTTTTGAGAATGACATAAAATTTATTCAATTGTTACTTTTCAGTTTTCTTCTAAGTTTGTTCACTTATATATATTGGCTATTTGATATTCATTCTCTCTATACATGATCAAACCATATCAGCATATTTTTTCATATATACAATTAGTCACTTTGGTGTTCAGCCCACATTTGTTAACTACTCATTAATTCTTGACCACATTTGTTCTTATTTTACAACCCTTGCTTTTTAAGTAATCCTTTTCCCCCTGCATTTAACTTGTTTCCATGTTTTTCTTGACATAGCCAATTCTCATTGAAATGGGCAAATGTATGCTATTACGCATAGTGAATTTTGCTTGTTCCAACAAACATTCACTCCTACATCAGAAACATGATCTGGCTGTCAGCATTTACATATTTTAACATTTCCTCTCCATTTTCTAAACCTTAGTAAACATTCTACCAAGGTATGCAAATTCTACTCCTTTTTGTTGCTGTTCTTTAGAAATTCCCTGCAGTTGTCCAGTCTATTGGTTAAATGCAACTTGGTCTGTAATTATTCCTCATTACATTATAAAGTCAGTTAACTTTTACTGCTAACATAACAATTAATTGGTTTCAGAGCCAACAATATAGGATTATATTGTAATGCTTTACATGGTAGTGTATAGGCTCTGGGTTTGCAAACCCCCCACAGTCATTTCGGTGGGATGTTACAGGCCTTAGTCATACTTGTGCCATATGCAGCATTCTGCCTAATTAATACCATAGTAAGTTTAATACTGATAAATTTTGGCATATGTGACAAATGCAATTAAAGCTCAGTTTTAGCTCAGGATATCTAATACGGCCAACGTACTGCTGATCTCATTCCACTAACTAGGAGGTATCACAAATCAAGAAATTTAATATGGTTTGATGTCAGTAACAAGTTATTAATTTTCTTAGATAAAATAGATACAGATGTTCCATGTTCCAATAAGCTTATTTAGTACTTGAGGAAAAATATTCAATATTAACAACTGCCCTGTTTAGCCACCATTCAAAGTGATGACGGAACTGAAAAAGTCACTTTATGACTGTTCCTTATACTTCTGACCGTTACAGCATCCCGACAGACATGTGATAGTTTCAAGCACTTCACAACTGGCAGGCGTTTACAGTTGTTGCAGCATCTCATGGTCACATTTGCTATTTGTGCACTTCACAGCCAGCTTCCATCAATGGAGAAGCTGGCAGTGAAATTGCAAGTTGCAATCACATGATATCTTACTTCATGACCATTGGTGATCTGCTTAATGACCACAGTGGAAGTGAGGTCATAAGTCCATTATGATCACATGATGCGTTGCTTAACTGTCACATTGCTTAGTGATGGAGTTGCCAGTCCCATTTGTGGTTGTTAAGCAAGGACTACCTGTGCAGGTAGTCCTCGACATACAACCGTTCGCTTAGCAACCATTTGAAGTTACAGTGGCAGCATCCTCATGGTCACATGATCAAAATTTGGGCCTTTGGCAGTTGGTGTGTATTTATGATAGTTGCATTGTCCTGAGGTCATGTGATCACCATTTGTAACCTTCCCAGCTGGCTTCCAACAAGCAAGGTCAATGGGGGAAGCCAGATTTACTTTATGACTGCATGATTTACTTAACAACTGCAGTGATTTGCTTAACAACTGTGGCAAAAAAGTTATAAAATGGGGCAAAACTCACTTAGGAACTGCTTGGTTTAGCAACAGAAATTTCAGGTTCAATTGTGGTCCTAAGTTGAGGACTATCTGTAATGTCATCTGAAGAAATTAGATGTGGAATTTGGAATTCCTGACTATTTGTTTAAAAAAACCCAGCTAGCATTACAGAGAAATGAAATATTTTCTAAGATTGTTTGTCTCATTCACACTGAAAGACAAATGCAATTTTGTTGTAGCTTCTAACTGTCCATGGGCGCACTAAAGAACAGAAAGGACCTCTTGTTGGTGTGGCTTCCTGGGAGCACATACAGGCTGTGAGGTAAATACCCATAGCTAACCTGGGGAAGGGACCCTGTGCTTCTGAAAGTATATAGATTGATTCACTGTATTGGTATCTCATCTTTTAGATAATTACTGCCTCCCAATGGGTCCACATGAATTAAAGCAAAGAAATGGACTCTTGTCATTAAATTTACTTTCTGAAGAAGGCGAGATTTATTAGAGAAGAGGAATTGAGGGCCGAAGAAAGGCAGGAGATTAGTTTCTCACAGCCAGAATGAAATGAAATTGTGAGCCGCTTATTGGCATTTAAGTCAATTTTCCTTTCCTGTTACTCTTTTTTGACTATCTGTTCTTGGACTATGACATCTTGACCAGTGGGAAAGGCCAGAGGGTTCTGCCCTTTAATTCTCTGAGCCACATAATTATCAGTAATTATCAGTAGGACTTGAATATTTATCTTGGAAGGAATATTGTATCTTGGAAGGGAGAGACAAGGTTCTTGCTTTTGGTCCTCAGTTCAGGGTATGTTAGGAGATTTTTTTTCTGGGCACTGAATGCCTTCAATTTAGAGAAAATATTGTTTGGTGAATCTAAGAGTTTGCTGCTCTTAAAAGGTTTTGATTTCTATTATTTATGTATTACCTTTCCTTTTCCATTTGCTGTCATAGAAAGGCTGTAAAAATCCCTGTTTTTGCAAATGGGAACATTCAATACCTCAAAGATGTGGAATGGTGTATTCAGAAGACAGGAGTTCAGGGCGTGATGAGCGCAGGTAGGAAAGAAAAAGAAACTGTTCAATCTCACTGTTGAGATTAAATGATACGAAGTACTCTTGCTCATAGTGTGGTTATCTGGTGTTTCTGTTGCTTTCATTATCCTTTAAAACAGTGATTTAAATCTTCCGAGCAGAGATCAGCGGTGCCAGATATGATAAACATAGGTAATCCTCTGTCAAGACTCCTGGTGACTTTAGGGACATGGTGATGTAATATTCTTGCAACAATAGTGAAGTGAATTTCTCATTGCTATTCTAGTTGTTGTTTCTTCCAATCTGGAAGAAAATCTACTGTACAGACTTGGTGACACATCCAAACATTAATATTGACCATTGGAAAAATAGGACAGTTACTGTAGTGGATAACTCACACAAAAGGCACCAATAACTGAAGAGGACTCAAAATGATTAATTTTTAAAGCTAGCAGTTAATAGCACTTAGACTTATATACCGCTTCCTGGTGCTTTACAGCCCTCTCTAAGTGGTTTACAGAGTCAGCATATTGCCCCCAACAATCCGGGTCCTCATTTTACTCACCTCAAAAGGATGGAAGGCTGAGTCAATCTTGAGCCAGTGAGGATTGAACCCTTGGCAGTCGGCAGAGACATTCGTCTCTTGCATCCAGATGAACCAGGAACAAGAGCTCCAAGGCTTCATAGGCATTACATGGAACCTTGATGAAAGAAAGCATATGCATTAATAAGGAACCCATAATGAAAAAATTGCTTTTCTACTGATAACTCTAAGGGAGACATGGGTATCATTCATGGCGTGAAGACTTAACAGGTGCGTCCTTTAGTGCTTTAGTTTAAAAAGCAGAGGAGATAATTAATGCTGTACAACAAGGGTTTTTTTAAAGTGGTTTGCAGGCCAAGGAACCTACTAGTTTTTTTTTAAAAAAAAAAACTCCTGGACCCCCTGATTTGGTAGTAAAGCTCCAGTGATAGAAAATTGGCTGGGTTCAAGTGGTCTTTCCCCCCCCCCTCAACCCCTTAGTCTTTCAAGGGACCATATCAAGTTCTTGGGGAGCCCTGGGTTCCATGGAGCACAGTCTGAAGACATCTGCCATACAAGATTTGAATGTGGCTATTATAACATGCTTATTGAATAGTTTATTTAAATATGAATTTGAGTTTGCATATAAAATCTATTGTTTTAGATGGAGAAACAAAAGATATGAAATACGGTTGTATATGCATATTAACACCTCTTAGCTTGCATTTGGATTCTGGAAGAGAAGTGCTTTTCCTGAAACATTGGTGATTATCCAGGAGTGTGAAAATGGTTCATCTCAAAATAGTTTGATCACAAAATTTTGCAAAGCGTCCTGCTTTCAAGCAGTCAAGAGGTATTGAAATTTATGTATTTAATTTATTTATGAAATTTATGTGCCACTCATCCCGCTATCGAGCAAATATGGGCGGCTAATGAGTATTTTGAACTTGAAATGCTTCCACAATGTGTGAAACAGCCCATTTGTAAAACTCATGCTTGAAAGCAGTTTATTATGAAACATTTTGTACACCCCTCCCTATTAATACTAATGAAAGTGATTGAAATCTTAATTTTGAAAAGTCGGGGTAGTCAACTAACTACGCTAATTGTGAAGTTCCATGAAAACATCAGATAAATAAGGCTTCACTAATTTCACAGAAGAGGTAAAATAATAAATTAAAACAATTTCTGTTGTTCTGAAATAGCAAGAAATGGATTTTAATTTCATGTTGAGAAATATGAATGAGTGAGCAACATACAGTTAGTCGTCATCAATCTTAATTGGGGCTAGCAATTCCATTACTAAGCAATGCAGTTTTAACGTGAAACATCACATAACAATGCCCAACTTACCTCATCAGCTGCGGTTGTGAAGTGAATCATGCAGATTATTAAGCATGACATGACAATACCGCAACTTGCAACTTCCTGCTGGCTTTCGCATTGACTTGCTAGTTGAAAGCCGGTTGTGGAATTCGTACATGGCAATCACGTGATCATGTGATCATGTGATGCTGCAACCATTGTAACTGCTTGATCACATGACCATGAGGACGCTGCAACAGCTACAAATTCAAGGAGCGGTTGAAATTTTCCTTTTTCAGCTCTGTCATAACTTTGAACAGTAACTGAATGAACAGTCAGTAAGTGAGGACTATCTGTAATTTAGTCACAAATTCGGGTTTCCAATGTGTGATTGCAGAGGTACTGAGAATATGGAATACTTGGATGACAAGTTTGGAAGCAAGAGAAGGAAATGCTTAACTTGCTCTCTAACTCCCAGCAGCACCAGCTAATTCCCATTGGGAATCCTTCATGTATCAGTTAAGGCAAAAACTGCTTACCTTTTTTTATTTTTTTTTGATTTTCTTCTTTTAGAGGGCAATCTTCATAATCCCGCTTTATTTGAAGGAAGAAATCCTGTCGTCTGGGAGGTGGCTGAGGAATACCTACAAATAGTACAGCAATATCCTTGCCCGTTGTCCTATGTCAGAGCTCATCTCTTCAAACTTTGGCATCACACGTGAGTGATTCTGTCCCAAAGGTGCTTTTTTTCAGGAGGCACCTGGATTTCCTTGTGGGTTTTTTTTTTTTTTTTTTTTTTAATTTGATTTATATGCCGCCCTTCTCCGGAGACTCAGGGCGGCTTACAATGCGTTAAGCAATAGCCTTCATTCTTTTGTTTTTTCCTTTAAAGACGTTTCCCTTCTTATCCAAAAGCTTCTTCAGCTCTCACAGGATAGTGGGGAATGGAAGGATTTATATTCCTTGTAGACAGCTGGTAATCTGCATCCTTGAAGCACTTGGAGGTTTATCTGTGTCCTCAGGGTCACCTGAGTAGTGCTCCTGGTTCCTGTAGTCTGCAATTCCCACCCCCCTCTGGAAATCCATTCCTACTCCCACACCATTCAAAGGGTGTTCATCCAAAATTGGATAGCTAAAAGTCTGTAGAGATTCTCAGTCATCCAACTATGGTTGTCCCAAAGGTCCTTTTTCAGGAAGCAAGTCCTATACCTTTGGGACAACCATGACCTGGATGACTGAGAATCTCTATAGACTTTGAGTGATTCTGCTGTTCGTAGTGTTTTATGAGATATCTCACAGCGGATTTCCACCCCCGTTCGTGTAAGGAGCGGAATCTCACAGCAGTTGAGAATGGAAGCTATACATCTTGTCTGCTAAGATTAGACTGAAATCTCCTCTTCACCACTTGTGTTGGTTTCCCTCAGGTTGCAAGTTCACCAGCAACTACGTGATGAATTAGCAAAAGTGAAAACACTGGAAGGACTCGTGGCTGTCAACAGGGAGCTGAAGTTGCATTGCCAGGTACCAGCTGATGCTTTTTGTGTTGCAGTAGCCCTGAACTTTTCATGGGGAAAAGCTTGGTACTGTAGAACTTCTCTTTGTCAAACAAGATAAGCTAATGTCTCTTAACAACTTCTTATTACTGAAAGTGTATAATGATTGCAGCAGATTTTAGCCAGTTGGCTTTCTTTATTTCTTCCTATTGCTCCTGGGCTCCAGCCAGGCCCACTGGGTTTCTTAAAAAATAGAGGTAGCAAATAGGTGGGTTAGGTGTTGCCTGCTTGGGGACTTATTAAAAATAGAAAAGGAAGGCAAAAAAGGAAGGAGGGCTCTGCCACTGTTATTGTTTATAGGGACATGCAGAAAGTATGGCATGGGCAGGTGTTAGCAGTAGGGAGTTGGAATAGATTTGTTTTGGTGTCTTTGTGTTGTGGCCCGCCAGCGGCCTGCACGGATTGTGGCTGATCCCAATGAGGAGGCTGGTGTGGTGTCACTCCAGCAGCCGGCACAGCCGGCACTCGCATCGGACAGCGAAGAGGCTGAAGAGGATGTGGTGCCAGAGGCAGAGACTCAGCCAGGGCCTTCAGAACCTCCAGAGGCTCCTTCAAGTGGAGAGAGCGAAGTGGAGGAGCCTCTCCTCAATGCTCGGGCACGCAGGGCTGCCAAAAGGCAGGAGTGGCTACTCAGGAGGAGGAGGTCTCCTCGGGAGTAAGGCTTGAGGATAATTGGCCACTCCCTTAGCCTATTTAAGTCACACACCGTTAGTAAGTTTCTTGCTAGAAACAACTCGTATTTATTATCAGAGTATTTTGGTTTATCATATCTTGTTTTTTGGGCTGGTTGCCAACCTTTGCTGGTCTTGTTTATTCTTGCTACTTAATAAATTTGATAAGGACCGTTGGTGTGTGTCAATATCCTCAGAAATCTGGAGCTGGGGCAGAACACTTTGTGTGAGTAGGGGTAAAGGAATGTGTAAGAAAAAATAAGAGATGGGAGTTGATTCTTAGAGTAACAGCACTTGTGAGTAAGGTTAATGATGAGTAGGAAAAAGAAGCAGGGTGAATGAATGGTGGGACGACTTCTGCTAAATGGCTGGCTTGCCTTCTGCGATGAGGGCTGTTATTCCAGCATGCTGCTATTTCTCAAAATTCCCTATCGAAGAAGGTGAACAGTGCACTAACTTCCAGGATTACCCATTTAGTGTTACTTTTATTTAAGGCATTTTGAAGTTCCTTCATCCTCCAAAGGAAACACAATCCTGGGAACAGCCATGACTACATCAAAGAGTTGTACACAAATGCACATTATTGGAATTAAATCCAAAGCAATGCACGAGCATAGTATTTTGAGACTCCATTTTCTAGTTTCATCGAATGGCTTAATACTGGAGTCCCCAACCCCTGGGCCATGGCCCACTTTTCGGCCTTGAGCCATTCAGAGTCAGACAGTGGAATGGGTGCACTTGCATGAGCAGTGGGCGAGCATGTGCGCATGCACCATTTGCATGAACGGCAGGCGTGTGTACCTGACATACACCTAAATGGAGCTGCGTGTGTGCGCTTGCCTGGCACTCACACAGAACCATCCCCTCTACCCCTCCCCCTGCCAGTCCGGAAAGTTGGGGAACTCTGGCTTAATACATTGTTATGCATTGGTTTTATACATTGGTTTTATTTTCATTTTTGCTGTATCAGGCTAGGCTGGTTCTTCCCTATAAAAATTGAATTTGTCATTGCTTCTGCTCTATATGTAGGAAGAAATAGCGCATTTGAAGGAAGAAGAGAAGCCAAAGGGAGGATTACCTTTCTTTCACTGGATTTGTCAGCCATACCTAAGACCAGGGTGAGTGCTTGTATTGCATTGTTAATTTGTCAGAATAATTTGTGCAATACATACAGTTTATCAAAGTAATCCTGAAGGTGAAGGAATATAGTACTGGAATGATATCTTAAGAAGCCTGTCCATGGCATTCTGAATTTTTTTTCCACTCTGCCATGTAACAAGAGCTGTAATGATAATTGCAACATGTGATATTTTTCCTCTGAATAGGCATCCTTGTGTGTATTGAGGTGTACATGTTCGTTACTCCTTCGGGTCTGAGCATTTTCCTCTAGGCTTGTTCCACTCTAATGCAAGAGAGAAGGGTATTTTTATTCACACTTAGTCAGGGTGGATTTGATTTAAATCAAGTTGATTTAAATCATGATTTAAATCACTAGTAAAAAGGCTTGATTTAAATCAACTCAATTTAAATCATAATTTTTAAAGAGCAACTGTCATCTCTGCTACTCCTTTGACCCACTGTTGACTCACCAATAGTCCCAGTGTTGCAGAATATACAGCCTCATGCTACATAACTAAGCTCCATTTCATGCTGAATAAACTAAATTATTTATGTATCTTAAATAGAAAACTATCTTACGATAGATTTTTACCCCAAAAGTTTTTTATTAAAATAAATTCGATAAAAAATAAAACAAATCCGATTTAAATAAAACAAATCCGATTTAAATCAAAAAAATCTGATTTTTTTGATTTTTTTAAAAAAATCATTGATTTTTATCCACCCTGCACTTAGTGGAATTGCTTTATGGAGCTTAGCTACTTGGAAATAACATGTCCTCAACTTTCTTTGTTAATTAGAGCAGTAAAGAGGAGCATTGTGAGCAACAACATTTTTCAAGGAGTTGATGTTGAAGCAAATTTTTTAAAAAAACTTGTTTGGTTTACCCTTCCATCAGGATAGGAAGAAAAAAGGTAGTTGGGAGACTATTTTTTCCTCTTTAGTCTCTGTTTATATAACCATTTATAACTGATATAACTGATATCTGCTTTGTTATTTTTAAGGACTTCTGTAGGGTCCTAAATTGGTGGTACTAGCAAAGAAAGTAATTGTTGCCTTGCATTTTAGATGTTTACATATTCAACCTTCACAGGCCTAAGGAAACGTGCAACAAAAATGCCCCACCTGTCATAGAAGGAACTACTCGGGGGAAACGAGCTCTGGAGGATGAAGAAGATGGGAACTCTGATTCTCTCTCAAAAAACAAACAAAAGAAGAAATTAAGGAATCCCAACAAAAGCTTTGATCCCTCATTAAAACGTAAGTTATAAAGCTGCATATAATATAGTCAATGGGTGTAACTGAACTAAAAATAGGAGCATCAGGTATTTATGTTTCTAAAATATCTCTTTTCAAGCATAGGGAACAGAATTTCTCAAAATTTCTGCAACTACAGGTCACCAAATAAACATTTGGAAAATGTGGGGACTGTGCAATTAATAAATAGTCCTTCTTTGTATTTCAGTGCATGGCAAGGGTAGATGGAGGGACAGGGATTTCTTAGCACCAGGTGAGACAATAAAGGAGTAGATGCCATCGCTATGCTGGGAGAGAGAGGGTCATATTTGGCCGGAGTTTTATATTTGCTGCATTTTAAGAGCAATTAAAGAACAGTGGTTTAAAGCAAGGGAATACTCTCCTATTTGGAGAATGGCAGGAGCCTGATTCTCGCAGTGCTTCAGAAGATCATATTCTTCACACTGGGTGTGTCATTCCTCCTCCAAGCTGCACATCCCCTTCTCATGATGCTTCAGAAACCTTCTCATCTTATCCCGGTCTCATGGGAATGGGTAAGTCTGCCATTCTTTAAATAGTGCACCCATTCTCACAACACTTGGGAAGCGAGGTAGCCAAAAGGAGGGAGAGATGGGGAAGAGTTCCAATTGCCATGTCCCTATGGTCATAAGTGTGGGCATGCTGCCAGGGACCCAATATTTTGATCATGTGACTGCAAAGGGGTATTGTAACAACTGGAAGCATGGGTCATAAGTCCAGTTTTTCAATGCTATTCAGCTCCTTTGAATAGTCGGACAAATAGGGCTACCTGTAAACAGTACTATTTAGAAAAGTTTAGAAACCAAATTTTGAATAGAGACCATCCTTTTTTAAAAATTAGGCATATTTCCAGGCCCTAACAACAAAAATACCACAATTTACTACGATCCACATTAACACTCCCAAGGATAATTTAGTGCAATTTTGGAAAAGAGATATTTCCAATGGTGTCAGATTGGGAACTTAAACCTGGAGAATATGGAACAATGGGAGAATTAACAGCATATATTCACAATAGAAGTTTGACTAAATTCAAGCAAGAACAACTTCAGTGTATAATTATACAGCACGGCAAATTTAAACATTTAGAGTATGTTTTTTTAAGGGGAAAAAGAATTAATTAAAAGATCTGAAGTTAGAAATAAGTGAACGATTTAAATCTTTATAAATATTACATAAGAGAGTGTAACAAAAGGGCAGTTAGAAACTAAATATTTCATTAACAATGCATATCAATAAGTTAATTAATCTATTGATAAATTTCCTTTTTTTCTGTTGGATGATTTATCTTTAAATAATAAAAATAGACAAGCATAAAATCAGCTTTCAACTCAGACATGTAAAAAGACCTTTAAAAATATGTTGTGTTTTGTTTAAAATAATTCAGTGCATTCTGCTTTTTATGGTTAACCCTTTATCAACACTATACTGAGCACCAATTATACAACTTTTACAACTTCTCTGTCCACTTACCGATATTTTTTCTTTTTTTAAATGCTTGTTTGTTTTTGAATGGTTAAATAAAAATACATGCTACCATGTTAGGGGAATAATTGCATCACAAATTTTGATATTCCTGAAGTTTTGGGACAGAACAAAAGCACTGAGCATTTTCCAGGAGTGGATCCTCTGTTGGTTGTGGAATGTTTTAAACTGTTGTTTAAAGTCTCTGTAAGAACAGTTTTAACTGACAAATGCAATCCTTAGCTGTCTTGTTCTCTATATTTTCTTTCTCTTCAATAAATCTGTTACATCTTTTAGCTAATAGTGGAACGTTTAATTTCAAAAACTATTTGCGGCAACATCTTAATTAGGCCAACTGAATATTGCAAAACAGTTGCAAGCAGAAATACTATCCCTCTCTTTTGTAACCCTGTTGGCTTTAAAAAGGTGTTGCCTTCAACAGGTATTATATTTTTTTCATGGCCAGCATCTCTTCCTAGCTTTGTATTTAAATTAAGGTATTTTAAAAATCTCTTTTTAACTATTTTTTTTTCAGAATTGATTTTAAATTCAAGAGATAGAAATTGTATGTCACTTTCTAGGAGAAATATTTGAAATAACCTGAAAACTAATTCATTTTTCCTTGTTTCAGCTAAATATGCAAAGTGTGATCAGTGTGGAAATCCAAAGGTGAATCTTTAAACATTTCATTAATGTGCTAATTGTTACAACCTGGAGTGGAATGATAAATGCTTAAAAATCTTGTATGTTGAGCCAAGGGATCTGCTGCAACATTAGTTTCAATAATATTCCTCCCAATAAAATTGCAGTCTAAAAATTTAAATGATTGAAACTATTTCATCCTCTAGTCTTTAAAATAAAGTCATAAGCAGTATGTTAATAAGAAATCAATTATCATATGCCTTCGTTATAGGCTTAAATGCTGTAAAATGCTTGCTTGGAAAGGTAGGCCAAAAAAGCACTGTCTCCAAGTCAGACTTGACTCCTGCTGGTTTCATGAACACAACTATACAGCTTTCTTAGAAGCCATACAGCATATCCCAGTCTAACCTACAGCCCTGTTATTTTCTAGAAGATTCCCATGCAAGTATGAACTGGGTCTGACCATGCTTGGCAAAATCAGTTTAGTCCAATGAAATATCACCGGTAGGTCTTAGAACAAGGAGATTTTACTAAGTTATCTGGAAATGTACTGCCACCTACAGGAAGCACTTTATACCACTTCTCTTAATTTTAAAAACTTTCACTACCAAAGCACAATACAGCAAGTCCTCACTTAACCAGTTGCCTCATTTAATAATTGTTGACATTACAACAGTGTAAAAAAAATTGCTTTTGCAACCAATCTTCGTATTTATGACTGATGCAGTGTCCTACAATGACATGATCACCATCTCTGAGCTTGCAACAAGCGGAGTTAATACAGAAGGTGATATAAAATATATCACAGTTACGAGATGTTTCACTTAACAACTGTGGTGGTTTGCTTAACTACCAAAGGAACAGTGAGGTCATAAGATTATCATGGTCACATGATTTTTGCTTAGCAACTGTGGCAGTTAGTAATCGAGTTGCTGGTCCCAATTATGGTTGCTAAGCGAGGACTACCTGTAAAGAGAAGCATAATGCTACCCAAATCTATGATGGATTCTTTAAATTTTTCTGTATAGAAGGAATAGATAGACTAAACAAGAAGGAATAGATTTATATCTATAAGGGAGTTGAGTCATAAATCATCTGCTGTGATTGTATGAATAATCAACTACTGGATCTTGCTCTCTTTCCAAAGACAATTATAGACAAATAATACAGTAACATCAACATCTGCCCAAGAAAAAAGATGGCATTTATTACTGCCTGTGGTGGGATCACAACTGACTAAGCATTTGAGTTTGTTGTGCTTTTGGCTTGTGTATATGTATATATTTTATTGGTCAGTGGGCCTAATAGATTTTACTTCCACCAGATTATATAAATTATTCTAAAATGATATTCTAAGTCTAACTCTAATCCCGTCTTCTGAAATACAAACGTATCAGTAACTCTTTTCAGCTGGTGGAACATTAGCTATTTTCAGCTTGGGGAAACTTGTGATCATCGGGATAATCCATAACCTGCAGTGTTTCTTGACACTGGTCTGTTGGGAGAAAAAAAAAGGGGGGGGGCAGAATTCAGGTATTAAGGTTATTTTTCAGTAGGATGTTTCTCCCAATGTAGGTGTTTGTCTGCACCATAAAGTTAATATCTTAAGTCCACACCTGTACAACTTGGGAGTAGATGGCTATTTTGTCCAAATACTTAGATGGGTGAGAAGTGTTGGCAAAGAGTCAATGTTTTAATGATAGTGATGTGATGTGATTTGTCATGGTGGGTAAGGCTTATCTAGATTCTTCTAAAATTGATGTGTCCAGTTTGTCGCTGTTCTAGATCTTTAAATAAATCTGCATGACACAGACACATTTTAAAAGGTTTCAGCAAAGCCTGGGAGGCTTTAAACAGATGGATATCCCACTTTTAAATCTTGCCCTGTTTTCCTTGATTAGCAGTAAATCCTATTAAAGGGAGGATGAATTATCTTTTTCTTATGAAATGGCAGTCTATTAAGAGATTTTTTTTCTCAGTTTTTAGATTCGTTTCACACTTTAGTTCAGACTACACAGAACTTACTGGCAATGTGATACCATATGAAAAATGAACTAATTTGCATCTCTTCCTAGGGTAATAAGTGTGTATTTAATCTGTGTCGAGGCTGCTGTAAGAAAAGAGCTTTCAGAGAGACAGCAGATTGTCCTGGTGAGTGCCTTTGTAACCAAAACTCAGTTTTTCAAAATAACAAAGTACCAAATTTCTAAAGGAAGGAATTTTAAAGTATGTTGCATGATTTTATACTTGTAAACATAGCTCACATTTCAAATACTATTTGCCAAAGGAAAATCAGAAATATTTCCTGGCAATAACATGCTTGATTTAAAAAAATCAAAGCAGATTTTCTTACATCTTTACCAAAAAAAAAAAAAAAAGGGACTACATCCAAATTATAGCATGACAATTACATCCTTTATTCCCCAAATAGCCCTAGAATGTATTAACCACAGTCAGTTAAGCTATGATCCTGTATGTAAAATTTAGTTTCAAAATAATTCTCTCTTTTGAAATACTAATTACTATCTTTTTTAAAAAAATAACTGTTGTGGTTTTATTTTCATCTGATGTATGTGATTTAGGAGCTAAATTGTAAGGATTATTTTTAAAAAATGTTAATTGTATGAATTTTGAAAGCCACATTACTTTTAATACAAAAGTGACATTCTTTAATCAAGTCATACAAAAATAACTCTCAGAATCAGATCAGCAAGTGCTCATGAATAAACATTTCTGTAACTATAAACTGTCAAAGAGATAAAATTACTGGGCTTTTTACTTTCCCTTTAAATAATCAACTGTGCAGTGGCTTTTAAAAATGATTGTCTATCCCATTTTAGCCATTTGATCATAGTAATAATGCCATTTGTGTTTGGGATCATTTTAGTTTTCTGCTCAATACAGCAACCTTCTGAATGGAATCTTTTCCATTTCTTACTCTTCAGCTGCTAGCCATTCAGGATGTATTGTCTTTGTTTGCTTTTTCAGGTCACGGTCTGCTTTTTAAAACCAAACATGAAAAGTCTATTTTGTGGAAAAGTGGTCAATCCCATATGGAAAATATTAAGCGGACAACACAGCAAGGTGAGGTGGAGGAAACGATGTTGCTGAAAGAGGCTATCAATGGTGTGGCATGAAACCTTGGAAAGCCTTCCTGGATCTTCTGACTGCCCTCCCTCCTCCCTCCCTGGGCCAAAGAAACCTCTGCTTCCAGAACACAGCTGTTGACACCACAAGGCCTGTTTTAAAATTAATGACAAATTTTACTTAAGAAAAAGTTACTTTCTCAGGGAAAAGTCCTGTAATGGAAATAAAAGGATGCAATTAAAGTTTTCACGCTGTGTTGAAAAGACTGCAAAGACTGAGCCAGAAGTTCTGGCCTTACAATGCTGCATTGGAGACATCTCTAAAGATACGACCTGCCTGTTTTAAACTTTATGTATGGTTTTAAAATTGGCAAATAAACCTTTTATAAAAGTAGTTTTCTGGAATATTATAACTAAAACACAGTTAAGGCACAGTATTTATGAACTCTAAATAAAAAAAAATTAAAGGTTTGCTTGAAGCTGGCATTGGGCACAGGCAGGATGATATGTGTAAAAGGACAGTAAAACTCAAAAGAGGGAAGGCATAATTAACAGGACAATGGACTATTGGATTTAGATTTTTATGTTTATAGCTTAATGAAAATAGTGTGTCTGCAACTGCTTTTGTTGGAAAACTGCAAATCAGCAAGTCAAATGATGCCAAAAATGAAAGCACATTACGTGTTTCATGTTGATTTTGAACATTGAAAAGACAATGTTTCTACTACTGGCACAGAGGTGGGTAATCTATGGCTCCTGACCTAACTTGGTACTGCTGTTAGCCTGATTTCCAACTTCCCTTTTAAAATCCTGTAATGATAGCTAGTTGTTCTTGCCTTGCAATCTGTTAGTCCAGGAGGGAAAATAAGCTTTGGTCCTAATTTACTTGCCCAATCTTGGATACCTCCAGTGGATTATCCCTTAAGAAATGTGGTCCTAATAGGATAAAGGGTTACTCACCTTTGTGATGGATGGTATATTAGAGCAGGTTATATGCATCATAAAGGACATTGACTAAGCATAAGCCCATTCTTTAATAAGTTACTTGGGAAAGAGTTATTTGGGCCACTTACTAATCCTTTTCAAAGGAGACAAAAAAGAAATAGATTTCATTCTAAAATAGAAATATGAAGTTATTTGCTTTCAAGAGAGATTCAAGGTTTTGAGCATTCTGTGAGTTTGTCTGTACATCAACTCATGAATATTGACATGTTTGTGAACAAATATTGCTGAAAGAGTAATTCTCATAAAAACCCACACACACCTCCACTCTGGATATCAGATTAGGCTATTAGGACAAATTACAGTGTTTACCCTTATCAGACTATCATGATTTTTAGAAATAAAAGCCATTAAATTAAATGGCTGTCCAAGTAAATGTTAGTATCTTTTAAATATTTGGGCACTTGAAGAACCAGAAATAATTTAGAGTAAAAAATCTTGTTACTATATTGTGATCCAGAAAGATTTTCTTCTAACAGCTTCATAAATTATCTTAGAATAACAATGACATGTCCTGGGTTGCATGCTGTTTACTTAGCGAAGAGCAGTCCTTGAACTTGGAAGGCCATTTGGTAGAATGTTGCAAAATACAGCAGGTGGGACTAGCTATATTTTCTATGTAAACAAATTAAATACAAATACAATATTACTACTATCCAGTCATTAATTTAAATATTTTCTCCTTTAATTTTAATCAAAATTACAATTGGGTGGCACTATTTGGAATCCTTGGTGGGATAAACTTCTCACGAGCTTCAGATTGTGCCACTTGGGAACACATGCAAGTACAGTAAGTATATTGTGATTTCTCTTCAAATTTCCATTTAGCCTCACAAATATTGTCACGAGGAAAAAGTCATCTCTTGCTGTTTCAACTACAACACACTTGTTTCTCATATGTTGGTCTTCTCTGACAGAACACTGTAGAAAAGGTTTTTGTCATAATTATTTTAAGAACTGTGAACACAATCCATAATTTCTGATGGTTTTCATATTCCTTTACATTGTGCTGCAACTTTTTGCTCCCATTTGGGTAAAGTTAGAGAATGCTGTGAAAGCAAATGCAACCATACTAAAAGTTGTAATTAACAGCAAAATTAGTTTGGTTATTCAAAAAAATTGTGCATCCATATGCAATTTATTATACTACAATATATTGCTTTAGTAACCTTTTAATCAGGTTTTCTAACAATACTAACATACACACACTTTTGTCCATTTTCCTGCCAATGTGTCGAGTTAATATTTTGTAATGAGAAAATCCCAGTATCTCACACATAGGCATCCAGTGAGTGATGGCATCAAGAGGGAAGAGATGAAATGTGTGTCATATGTTATACAAACCCTGTGATTACATACTTGCAGTTGGGATAAAAAAAAATAAAGGGCAGAGTTTGCAATATGGCATCAAGTGTATATTTCATCATTGCAGCTTAGTGGTAGATGGCTATGATCTTGTACTTCATTTGCCATTTCCTCTGAAATGCAGCTATTTTAAACCACAGTGTGGAGTAATGGTGAAGCCTTAACAGATTAACAGATTTGGAAGGGACCTTGTAGGTCATCTAGTCCACCCCCCCCAAAACAGGAGACCCTACACCATTTTTGACAAATTGCAGTCCAATCTTTTCTTGAAAGCTTCCAGTAATGAAGCTTCCACAACCTCCGAAGGCAACTTGTTCCATTGGCTGATTGCTCTGTCAGAAAATTTCTCATTTCCAGGTTGAATCTCTCTTTGTTCAGTTTCCATCCATTATTCCTTGTCTGGTCTTCAGGTGCTTTGGAAAATAGCTTGACCCCCCCCCTCCTCTGTGGCGTCCCCTCAAATATTGGAACACTGCTATCATTTCTAGGTATTCTAGGTGTGGTCTTGCTAAGGCTTTATCTAGTGGTATTAGTACCAATCCAATCCAAAATGAATTACTGTAATGAAACTGGGCACTTTTTTCAATTACTGCAATTTATAGTTCATCATTTACATGCATAGCTATAAATATTCTTGATACGTTTGGTGTGGGGGAGCATAAATTAATCTATATAAGCATGTGACTATCCTCCTGTTGCATTCCTGTATATTTGTAAAACGTTTATTGTGTTTGTAACTTCTAGCAAAGAGGAGTTGAGACAGCGAATCCTCCCCAGCAGACTTTTTGTTCACTAGCAGTACACACCATTATTGTCTTCTCAGTGCTGAAAAGTGGCTGCTGTCTTAAGAGTAATTTGTTGAGACCTGATTTAGCTGCCTCACACCAGCAGATTTACTAACACACACACACACACATACACAAACAGTCCTTTCTTCTTTCAGTCTTCCTTCCTGGAAGGGCCCTAAGGGTATTAAAAGGAATCTGATGGACTTCTTGGAACAGCCTCCCCTCCCCCGCCCACCCCCCTTTGTTAGGGTCTGACTAGAGGGTTAACCTTCTTTTCTCAATATTTCCCCCTAGCCTGGCTGAATGGCAGAATCTAGTACAAATTTCCTTTTTAACACTATCCTACTAACCCAGTAAAGCTTATTGTATAACCATAGGATGACTAATAAATTAATAGTTATATGAAACACCATGACTAAGAATATGAAGCAACATTAAAAATCATGCATGATTTTTAATTCCTATTTACCAGAAAGTTTCCCTAGCATGTCCAATCTTCAGAGCTATTTTGCAAATCATAGTCTTAGCTGTACTTTCAAAAGAGCGTGAGAGATTATTTTAACTACTGGCAACTTATTGTATAGCTGCCAGACACACCTCCGCCTCCTTTCATTCCAACCTGTACTTTCAGCTTTCTCTTTGCTTTTGCCTCACGCCTACTACAGGATTTGCTTCTCTGACCCTTGACTGCAGATCAGGGATTCACAAATTTATACCCATGGAGGTAAAGCTGCACTTTAGCAGACCGTTCCATCTTCCATGTGGCAATCAGGAAGCAGGGCTGGAGCTTATCCGAATGTCTTATCTTTAATTCCCCTCTCCCTTTTATATAAGAAAAGATTGCGAAGATTAATCAAACAGCCAGGATTACATTTTGCAGGGCAAGCTTCTCACGCAGAGAGGAAAATGTAAACCTAAGTGAGGGAACATGCTACTCTTATGGATTACGGATTACCAAGGCCTAAAGTCATGCTTCAATTTGCACATATTAAGAGATAGGAAAGATAGGGACCTGCATACAGAGCTGGGTGAGGAACCAAGCAGCTAATCTACTGGTACCTGCCCATCTGAATGGAGAACAATGCCCTGCTTTTCAAGAGACCAACTTTTCCTTCACCATGTGAAGGAAGTTTGTAGCTTGCTCAGTTTAGCTTGGGGGGGCGGGTATTCAGTTACTTAAAAATGTCCCCACTGAAGCAGAACCCTATTCTGCATTGTTTGACAAAGATTGGAACAAGTCTCAAAGACTGGGTGTTTCATCTGGCAGGTAGGTGGGGCTTTGAACATGAATTCCAGCGTCACTTCTACATTGCATTGATTGTTACACTGCTCACAGTGGCAGAACTGGGAGTAGGCCACAGGCTAGCTGGGGAATTCTGGGAGCTGAAGTCCACCCATCTTCAAGCAGCCAAGGTTGAGAAACACTGGACTGAATCAGACAAGGCAGCTAAGGAAAGAGAAAATACATTGATGAAAGACTCTCCAGTTGGATATCACTGTGGTAAACCAGAGATTTATGCTGTTTTCCAGCAACTACAGCTGTTCTATAATCTAGTGCCTAATTTAACTTGTATCCCACCTTTGTTATTTTTACAAATAATTCAAGATGCTAAACCTTCTTCCTCCTATTTTCCCCACAACCACCACCCTGTGAGGTGGGCTGATTTTGCTGATACCAAGGTATCTTTAGCTCAAGATACCTTGAGCTAAAACTATCAGCAGTACTCGAGTTTAGATAGAAGTTAGGGCCAAAATCTGCCAGTAGTTCCTTTATCCCTCCATGCATTAAGTCTTTGTAACAGAAGTCAGAGGCCTCCTTAAGGGGAAAAAAATAGCCACTGGAACTCGTAGCAATAAATCACAAATCTGTTTACAGACCCTAATATGCATAGGTCAAAATTAGAAAGATTTGGATCCACCCTGCCCCTATAAACTTTTAAACTCTAAAATCCTGGCTTTTATCCCAAGTAAAGGAGAGATCAGTGGCAGGGCCATTTGATTTGTAGTTTGCTTTGGTTGTGATATCCATTTCCTTGCTCTGTAATATTCCTTTTGTTTCTTCTTAGGTTGTAATTGTATGCTGCCTATAATCAGTTTTGAATTTGAGCAGCCTTATAAAATGAAATTATAAATGTAGCCTGTCTGAATTACATTTTGCTCTGCATATTTTTGTCCGATTTACTGCAGATTTACTTATGTTGTGTCCTGTATATTTGATTTTTAAAACTGCATCTTGCTT